TGTAGGTGACTGCAACAGTCTTATTTGAATAACTCTACATGGTGCACATTAAAAAAAAATAGCATTGGCAGGATGTTTGTATAGATGGCCATGATTCACTTTTTTTTTTTTTTTTTTTTTTTTTTTTTTTGCTTGAGGTATCAGGGATTAACTAAGGTGTCAGTAGCATAAGAGACTCATGAAGGGATAAAAATATCTCATGAGCTGTGGCCTGTTCAATTGCTGATACAGAGAGAAAAATAAGGAAATAAGGTATACATTATAGAAGTTAGAAGTTTAGGATGTTGGCATTTCTGGAGAACAGTGCTACTCTGTATTTGCACTTTTGCACCCTGATATGTTCCTCAAGGGGGGGACTTCATACCAGCAGGCCACTTTCCATTACTGTGAAATAAGTTCTGGGTACTTACTGAACAGAAAAACTTATCTGTGCTTGTTCATACCAATTTATGTAAATCAGTCTGTTACTAAGAACAGAAACATTTAACTCAAGCAAATTGTAAGCATACAAATATATGAAAACAGCAAACATAATTTGAAAAGACCTGTCTGCTGCTTTGCACAAGTTCACATTCCAATCAACTTCAGTATTTAGCTCATAATCAGACAAGATCAAGCAAAGCAGACACAAGTCACAAGTTCTTGCTATATACCTTCCACTAAAATGAAAGCAAATTTCAAAAAGAAAATATTTGCATACTGATGATTATATGTGTTTTTAAATCATCACATTGTTATTTTTAAGCAAAAGATAGTCATTAGAAGTATTACATTATATCATGATGCTATGCATAAACACTACACCAGTGTTTATGTGCAGTGTGCTGAACGCAGGCTTCTCTTGGCTATCAGACTGCCAGCAACACAACCAAACAGGGAACCACTTTCAGGTGATTAAATTCAATGGGTGGGTGAAGCTGCCCCAGGCAGAATATACTACTGATGTGTTATGTTTATGTACATCACAGAGATGAAGACAGTATACAGAGAAAAAACAGGTAAATAAGGGAATATACAGGCCTACCACTTAAACTGAAATCACTGCCATTTTTTGCAGTTGTCATGAGAATTCAAAGGCCACGTATGTTCCCATAGCTTCCAGATCTACAGTACTGATATTATATATAATGAATATCGTGCCACTCAGGAAGCAACAATTAAGCAATTAATAGACAGCAATATTGACAGTGTTTATAGCAAAAATAGCTGAGAGAAGACCCTCACAGTTAGTTTTGTATCCTGGTCTCTTTATTCACTCTTTAATGTCTTTGACTTTCTGCATGAAGTGATTTCATTAGCAAGGTATCTATCTGCATGATGAATCTCAAGTTTTTCAAGAAAGTAGCCCCAAAGCTCTACTTTTACAGTTTTATGCTTTTCAGAACTCTTCTAAGGTCTATGAATAACTTGAGAAAACTGTTTTTCCATTTTAACTGCCTTCTGTGCTGTCAAAAGATTGCTGGACAATGAGTCAGATCAATAGCATTCTTCTAATTTTGAGTCCTGCCTTACATTAATATGGATGTGATTACAGACTCACAGCTTGGAATGCTGGCAAAAGATAACACTTGACAATACTTTTCACAAATAAAAAGGGACATAGATCAATACAAGCGTGTCCAGAGTTAAAGAAGGATATAAATAGTGTTATATTCAATGGTGTAAGAAGTAACTATTCCATGAGAAGGTAAAATAATGAAAAGATTTGTGTTGTACCTCTGAGTTAAGTCAGTCTTATTTATTATCTATTTATTTTTCAGAGTAAGTGGTTGGGATTGAAGTAGTCTGAAGGATTGGATCTTTGTTTGTTTGTTTCTTTTCCTTTGTTATTAACTTGATTAGTTATTGAATTCTGCAGAAGTAAAATGAGGTAGGTTCATGTAGATGAGTAAACGCGCTTGCACAGTTTTGCTAAAGTACAAGTTTTGTGATGGCAAACTTTCTAGATATATCTTTCTGCATCTATATTATGCAAGGAGAGAAAAGGAAGGTGATCTAGTCATGATTTCTGTGGTATGAGTATTGTTACCTCACTAAAGTAGCTGTTAGGAGGAAAAGGTACCTACTGATCATTTAAGTCCTATGGGTTGGTTTTCTTTTTTCTTCTTTTTTTTTTTTTTTTTTCTTTTTTAGTATTTTTGGATTTGTCTTTTTCTGGGGAGAGGTGGAGGGTAGTTTTTTTTTGTTGTTGTTGTTTAATCTTAGGCTGCTTGGCCTTTACCATAGTCTCCTATGGGTTTGAGTATCTTGACTAATTTTTTGAAATATAAATATTTGAACCCTTACCAATAGTGAATTTTTCCTTCACTGTTTACGTAAGTAAGCTTTCATAGTCAATGTGCTTGAGGAGAGACATGTAAGAAATATTAACAATTCCTATTGCAAAGCCAGCTGCAAATGTTAAAGATGAAAGTTACTTTTCTATTTAAAGCTCCTTATTCAACCTTTTCTTTTTCTTTTTCTTTTTTTTTTTTTTTTTTTTTTTCCCCATGTAACTTACTACAGACACACCGTTTAAGGTACAACACAAGTACTCAGTGAAAGAAAAAGCTAATCCCTGTATAAAGACATAGAGGAAGGGCGAAATAAAGCTGAAAGTTTTCCAGTGCAGCAAGAAGAAATCACAGGCAAGTATATATATAAAAAAATCTCTGTTGTTTTGTACATTCACATCTACAGATTGCTACATTTCTTTAAATGAATAGTCAGTTTTCCCACTGATACTTATACATACTCTTCCATCTCAAAGCTTGGGATCTTAATAACTCGCATTCATGAATGCAGTGTCCCTTGTGTCATTAGCCTTTATGGTACATGACTGCCATGCTGCTGTCTTAACAAGTAGGTTTCAATCTATGCAGTGAACATTCATTTCTAGAAGTGACACTCAGCTAGGAATTAATAGTATACACATCACTGAAACTGCATATTTAAGCTTTTCTGAACTTATTGTAATACTGAATTATTACAAATATAATGAATGAATTATCTCATGGTCTAGAATTTAACTTCGTATGCTCATATACACTTGCTTGATTCAAGTATGACATATTATTCTTAAAGCTTTTCTGAATGAGAACTATACGTACATAAATTTAGGTTAGAAAAAACATGTATAATCAGTTCTACCCTAAAAGCAAAGTGGTTTCTCTTGATTTACCTAATGTCCCATGTTTAATTTAAACCAAAATAAGTTATTTCTATATGAGGCTGAGCACTCATCCAAAACTAATTGAATAACTAATGTAATTATGAACTCTTCCCTTTACATTAAGTCTCTAAGAACACTGACAGTATATCATTACTTCTTCTCAATTTCTGCTTGGTCCAAATAAAAGCATTGCTTGTGTTAAGCCAGCAGACTCATGCTATTACATTGTCTGAATATAAATGTTTATCAGAGTGCTGAGTTAACTTCAAATGTATTTCATTTCAACAGGCAAAACTTTATGCTATTAATGCAACACAGCAAGAAGCCTGTATCTGCTGTACAACAATCTGACAGAATCCATTTTGTATGCTACTTCCAAGAAAGAAAATGCCAAGTAGAGTATGGTGTTTTTTTTATCTTTGCTACAGTATCTGGCTACCAGACAAAATCCGTGCTCTCGCTACAGCCTGCAGCAGGGGAAAAATCCAGAACCTGTTACTTCAGCATGTTTTAGGTTTATCTTCTGTATGTAGCACATATACATGCATTTAACACAATTGTACTTTGCAGTTGGTCCTTTGTAACTATATAGAAACAGTTATTAACTATAAAGACTTATTTACACTAGCATTGGTCTTCTGTAGAAGAGGAAATAACCTAAGTTTGGGTCCACTCCTAATTAGTCCGAACACAAACTGATTCTAATGACTGACAGTAATACATAGGAATTTGTATTGTCTAATATAAAAATACCTGTGGTAAGAATTTGGGCATTTCAGTACTCTTGGATTCTAACAAACCAAGGAACATCTATAAGTACTTTTAAAATCTATGAAACTCCCTAAACATTGATTTTATTATTATTTTTTATCTGGATGTATTCTCAGGTTCAAACAGCTGTAAGCCCTGGAGTCACTGCAAAATCAGAAAAAGCTCTACTTCCTGGGTAAATATGAATGTGATCATCTTAACGTTCCGTGTTCCTCCCTCCTGTGTTTGTAGTTGAATTAAGGCACAGAACACTGTTGTTACATCTGGAACTGAAACTCGATTCAGAAGTCAGGCCCCACACGAGTAAACATGACAGCTCCCTGTGCTAGATGACCCCCTTCCAACTTCGGACATTCCACAATTCTGCGATATAAAGCCACAACTCCCTCGATCTGGTGTGGCACGCTTTAATTTTGGAAGAAGTAACGACTATTCACACTGCTCTGAACTCCTTCTGGAGCAGGGATCCTGAGCAGCAGCAGTGGCAGCGCAGGGCACACTCCCGAGATCACCGTCAGCAGGCTGACACTTCTGCTACCAGGTATCCTGCGCCCAGAGATGCAGGGCACAGCCCCCGCTAACCCCAGCCTTGCATGCAGGGCCTTTCCCCAGTGAGAGGCAGCAGAAAGCGTTAAGGACGGGGCAGTTCCCGGACGGGAGGGCGCAGCGGCGCCAGCCGTACCCACCGCCTGAGCCGCCATGCGGAGCAAGGGCAGCGCGCCACGCATGCGCTAGAGGGCTGCGCTGAGGGGCGGGGCGAGCGGCGAGCCCCGCTCCCTCCCGCCGGTGGGCCGTACCACTGTGCGGGGGTGTATGTGGAGCGTGTTTCGTCTGGCAGTCCGCTCGCTAGGCCTCTCCGGTGTCTCCTATCCGGAATGAGTGTGAGGCGAAGCGATACAGCACGGGACTAAGCGAACAAGAGACCATGTTTAGCCGCAGGCGCGTTGTCCGCTATCTCCTCCCGCCACCTCCCCCGCTTATGGCGGGTTGGGCGCGGCCCGCTCCCCCAGCTCTCCCCGAGGCCCGGCTTCGCGAGTTCCCGCTCTCTCGCGCCCGCCCCCTCCCTCCTCCTGCCCCCTCCCTCCTCCCTCGGTGCCGGCTCGGTCTCGCCTCGGCCTCCCGTTCCCTCCTCCCCCTGCCCCGACTCGTCCCCGGCGCGACGGCCCTATGGCGTACAGTCAAGGTGGCGGCAAGAAGAAAGTCTGCTACTACTACGACGGTGAGCGGGGTTCGGGGCGCGCGTGAGGGGAGAGCGCCGTTACCGCCGCACGGCGCGGCCTCTTCGCCATTGCGGCCGCCCCCTGCCCCGCATAGGCGTGGGGTCCCGGTCGCCATCCACCTGCGGCCCTGCTGGGCCCCGCCACGGGGCCGGCGGGACAGAGGAAGGAGAGCAGAGGAGGGGGACGGGGCGGGAGCTGCGGGGCCCAAGAGATCCCCGCGCTGAGCGCTGGGTTTATTGTTACCCTCCCCCCCCTCGCCCCCCTCTCCGAGAGAAAAATGAAAAAGGAGAAAAGTTGGGACACTCCCCTTCATCCGCTAAACGTGAAGGCGCTGCCGAGTCTGACTCCTCCCCTACAAAAAAAAAAAAAAAAAAAAAAATGTTAAAAAAAAAAAAAAAAGCCGAGACCGTGAGTGTGGGTTCGGCACCTGGATGTTCGTGTGGCCCGGGCCTCGTCTGGGTTACAGCGGGGAAGCGAGGATCTCCCAGGCCAGCCAGCAGCGGCGGGGCGCGGCGTGCTGGGGTGCCCAGCACCGAGTGCTGAAAGACGAGCTGCTCGGTAGCCTGCCGACTTTGCACGCTCGTGTGCGTGATGGAGCCGCCTGGCAGCTTCGGAAAGTACGCACGCCTTGCGTTTAGGTTCCGATATCTGCAGCAGCTTGTTCGTGGTTTGTTCTTGCTGCTGCAGAGAGAACTTTTCCTTATGTTCTGTTGAGTTTGCATTTGTTTTACTTTGCTTTTATTTATTTATTTTTTTTTTTCCCTTTTTGTACAAACTCGGTGGTCAGAGTACTTAAAAGATTCCATTTCTAGAATTGTCTCCCCTTTTAACCGTTTCTTGAAATCGGTGTATCAGGCTCTTGTGAGACCGAGGCTGTTTTACTCCAACGCTTTGGAGGTCTCACCATTTTGGGAACGAAGAGCAATCACAAAGCCCACGAAGATGTCCAAAGTGGCTGTTGCTGTAGCAAAGCTGCCATTCTTGGGAAATGGCAGAAATGGGGCCTGCCTTGAGCTTGCACTACACCGATGGAAGCAGAGTGTGGTTGCCGCCCCCTTCTCTTTGTTGCTGGCTCTGGTTCTTTGTTCAGCCTAAAGGGGAAGGGAGGCCCCTGTTAGGGATAGTTTTGGTGAGACTGGGATCTTACTTTTTCTGGGCAAGAGGAATCAATTTCTGCCGTGTTGAGGGGAATGCAGAAGCAATAGGTTAGAAGCATTCTGCTTGCAAATGTTTGCATCTTTAGGTTTGGATTTTTTTTCATTGTGTGGTGTTTTTTTGTTTTTTAAGAGCCAGGTGGTTGTCATTTGCTAGGCATAAATATCTTCAATTTTGCTATGATTCCTGGACTTGGTACTAGTTACTGTCAGCTCTATAAACAACCCGAAATCTGTACTGAGGGAAGAGGTGGGAGAAAGTGGGGAAGGGAGAAGTTTTGTGAAAGCAGGATAATGATGACTTGCAAACAGCTGGAGCTAATATCTTGCCTACAACTATATGCAACTAACAGAGTATCTGTTATGACCTGCTTTCCCTGTAAAAGAAATAAGATGTTGGAATGTTTTGGCTATCCTTTTTAATTTTTATTGTCGAACAGTTATTTTACACTTCTTTTGAAAGCGGAGTTGTTAGAAGAGCTTTTAGAATTAATACCTGTGGTAAACGCTTCCAGTGCTAATTTGTGGTTCATCTGATAATTTTTACTATTTTGTAACATCTTATACCAGCAAAATCTTGAATTAAACTGGGGGGAGTACTTGAAGCCTTAAATAACCCCAAACCAAAAAGTGCAAAGAGTGTTTCTAAGGGTATCGTAACTGAAAAAACAACGACACTTTTTTTTTTGCCATATTTATCCTTCCACAAAGGCTTTCACTCAGTGTCCTTGAGAGTATGTGCCAAAAAGTGTTGAAAAGCATTAGAAGTGTATGTGCGTGTTCTTTGAGGTGCAGTAGACTCCTACATATTCTTTGTGGTAGTCAGTATGGTTATCATCTCAAGTCTCTTTTTCATATTAGCCTGTCACTTAGCAAGTCTTGATTAGTGTGTTGCTATTAACATGTATCAATAATTATCAGTACCCACAACCAATAAACTTGTGGTAGATAGGAGCTTGATTTCATTTTTCTTCAGTTTATTGTTAGAAAGCGTTAGCTACGTCCACTTTGCAGTTTGTGGCCTGGGTGTCTCAGTGACCTATTTCAAAACAGATATGCATTGAACACAGCAACGAGGACAGGACCCAGATGGTCTCTCCAGCTCTGTATTCTGTACAGCAGAACACAGTTGTAAGGAATCATGCAGCAGCTAACATGGTTATAGCTGGTGTTTGTATTTGTTCTATGCCACTGCAGTAACAGGATTGTTTAGATTGCATTTTTTGCACAATTTAATGTGTATTTCCAAAAGGCTTTACCTTCATGAGAAGTTCCAGGGATCTGCATCAGAATGTGGGTGGTTCCACCCATAGAGGTGAGACTAAACTTAATAGTGCATCATATTAGTATACTCAGATGCTGTTTAAGTATGTTAGTACTTCCAGATGAACTTGTGTATCTGCAGACTTTAACTGAAGAGTGTTTCACAGAAGCAATGCTTTGAACTGTGGCTTCTAGAACTGCAGTGGTGCCCAACCTATGCTGAAGGCACAACCTTCCCTGCTTAATTTTAAAAACCTGCTTGTTTTTAAGGACTAGAGGATAAAAAAAACAAACAAACCCTGAAGTCTACAGATGTAGGAGTTTAAAGTCTATTTAAATGTCTTTGTTGGACTTATCAAGCACCAGTGATTGTTTTCTAGATTTGTCTTTGCATGATTTTGTCTATTCATGTTGCAGAAGCCAATCCAAATGTAAGTACCACTAGTAAGATTATTTTTTTTTCATGTGGTTTCTATTGTAGTGGTTGTGTTTGTGTACTTACAGTGCTTACAAAATATCTTGTGATTTCATGCTAGCTATGCTTAAAATGAGCAGAGGTATGATCTGTGTGCATAAAAAGTTTTATATGTCATTAGAGGATAAAACAATGTCCAAATGTTATATATTGCATCCTCCTTCATTCTGCTTAGACCTTTTGTAATTAGTTGATTTACTTGTCTAGTTTCTCTAAAACTCTTGGAGAAGATGTTCTTAGCATATTTCTCTGGCCTTAGCTGCTTTTCACAGCCTGCTGCGAATCTCTCAAATGTAATTGAAGTTCCTTTCAAGCATGTAGCCTCTTGTATCTGTCTGTGATAGAATATTGAACATCTGCAGGCCTTTCTGAAGCCTCTGATAGAGAGGTATGTCACATTCAACAAAGGAATCACGTGGATTTGTCTTCATTTGATGAATTGACAGGCTGTTAGTGTATTAGCATATTTGAACCCAGGGCATGGCAGTATGTGTAACAAGTTAATTTTCAGGTAGGTTTTCTGGTCGTTTGTTGGTATTGCAGTGTCTATCGTGATAAACTGTTCAGGCCCATAAGCTGGTGCTTACATTATACTGGCGTTTGGTTTGTCTTTCTTCCAAAAATGTTGAGTTCTTAACTGACATTAGGTTGTTGCCTCTCGTTACCAGCCATTTAGCTGATAATGTTATTGGTATAGAATGGTCTTTGAAGCTTTTCTGTGAACAAAATAATAGATTTCCCTACTTTCTGCATATGCTGCTTCACATTTTTTTCCCTTTACTTCATGCTTCAGTTATGTTTTCTTTTGCACTTTCCATGTGCACCCTCACTGGTGAGTGATTAGAGATTATGCTTATAACACTTAGAACACTTCTGTATGCCTTTTGCTCTGGTATTGACAACTTTGGCACCAAACACTCTTGTGTAGTCTTCAGTAGTCGTCTTTGTACTCGGCTCCACTGTATCCACTTCTCATGTATGCATATATATATATGCTCTCACCTTTGCTTTTCTCTCTCTGAGTACTCCAGTAAGGCTGTAGTGTTCCAAAAACAAAAAACAAACCAAGGAAAAGAGAGAAAGGTTCAGGGTGCGTGGAGGAAGTGCTCCTTCATGGGGTGAAGGAGAAGGAGACATTTCTCAGCAGCCTTATATTGGACGATGTTTCCAAAATGGTGACAACAGGCTAAAAATCAAGATGTCAGTGCCAAAAATGGAACCTCTTGCATACTTCTTCCTTCCCTATCCCTGCCAACATATACATCATAGAAATGCCTTGAAACTTAATGGGCTTTTTGTCCACGTGTTTCAATATTTTTTCATGAGGGTAATGCCAAAACCCTTTTTGTGTTGATGATGCAAGACTTGAAAGATGCCAATAGTATTGCTTGTCACTGAAGTGTATGATATTGAGATCTATTGTTAGTCATTACAGCTGACCTTTAATACAAAAGCATCAATATGCTTGCACTAGCTGTTCACTAGCAGATCTTCTCTCGTTTAAGCTTTCATAAAATTTGCCAGCTTGCTGAATCTTTTAAAGTTCTAGCTTGTATTGAAAACATTAAATATAGCTTTTAACTTTTTGAATGTATTTATTGATTGATTTTTACTAATTTTTAAGCATGCTGTTGTGATGGCTGGTATTCAGGTGATATTTGATTTTGAATGTTTAAATGATGCTTTTATCAAAAGATACACCCCAAATATACTCAGGGAGCATGTTAATGCTGTCCTTTCTTTTATGTAAGATAAAATAACAAGTCTTACCTTTTCCATGATATAAATAATTTCTAATATATATATATATTCTAATAATAAATAATACATTAACATTTTGAGTAAAACGTTGGTGATAATGACTGTGTGTTGTGTAATTAAAATTGAAATATACCTTAAAAAAAAAAAAAAGTAAAAACTCATTGCATCACAAACGCATTTGGGGGTGAAATTTTCTCAAAAGCACCATGTTATTTAAAGGTATTATTATGGAATTATTGTCTTCAGAACTTCGAAAGTCTTAAGCTCTTGTTAGCTTGAAGTTTTTTGAACCTATAAGAGTAACTTGAACCTATTAGAGTAACTTTTGAACCTATAAGAGAAACAAGGTGGGGTTAGTAAAAGGTGGTCCTTCTTGTAGTAGTTAGATTCAAAGAGTTCTTGAAGCTCTTTGCTAAAAGCAAATGTAGAACATACTGTTTTGTATGATGTTAGGAGATGTTTTGGTGGGAGGTATAGGGATGCTGTCCTCTTTTTTTTAACGTCTTTTGTTCTTGGCCTGCATGTGAAAACAGTATAGGGTTGCAGTATCAGCTGGAGTCTATATCTTACTAACTGATGTGCTAGTTACCATTTACTTACCAAAGTTAGGAATGAGTAAAATCTTTTGAAGTTCTTAAACAGTAATGTTTTTCCCATTGAAATGAGTTGATGAGGAGAAAGATGCTGAACAGTTCTTTCCGTTATGGCTGCTCCAGAAATAATAGCTTGTATTTTATTATGTTAATCGTATATTCATCATATCATATTCATATCACATTCATATCATATATATATTATCACAATAACAGAGATGGATGTTGGTAGAAGAGGTTAAACATTTCTGCCAGTATTCAGTGAGGTGGTGTTGCCACCAGGCAGATGGCAGCAGAGGGGCAGTCTGACAGAATGGTGTCTGACATGGCAGTACAGTGTGACATGGAAGCAGAGGTGCCTCACTGAATTCGTTCATGAGGAAAAAATGGCACCCATTGACATTCATTGATGTTTGCTGGGCATTGATGGGCATCAAACAGTAGCTGTGAGCACAGCAAGATGGCAGGTGATGTGTTTTAACAGTGGCACCATTGCCATGAAAGAAAGACAAGCTGCATTCAGTCATGCACAGCTGTCACACCATGAAATGAAGAGCATCTGAATCAGCTCATCTGTACAATTTGGCTAATGGTGGTGACTGTTTGAAAAAGTGTTTTGTAGCTGAGAACTTGCTCTATCAAGTAGTGTTATTGTGCTCTTTGTATCTATTTTAGGTGGAAATAGGAGGTGTTACTTTAGGAGCAACCTACATAGATACCTTTCTGTTACAATACATTAGGCCATATCTGTTTTGTGAAGTGTCCTTATTTACGCTATTACTTCAAAAGCTAGAAGTCGGATTTTTAGAATCCTTTAGTATTTCTAATCTTACTATAGTGCTTGCTCTTCTTGGTACTTGGTGATGCTATTGGAGGCTGATGTTTTCCCTTCCTGGTGACCTAGAGCTCATGTTAAAGAAATAAAACTACAGCTGCTCTGTAGCAGTGCTACTTCTTACCCTTCTCTATTAAAATATGTAAAATTATGTTTTGAAAACAATGTTATTTCTTTTCCAGTAGGCTAGAAACATTTATTGAAAAATTATTGAAAAACATGAAAGAAAAGTGAAAGTTTTCAAGAAGAAGGTAAAATCAGTAATATTACCAAGGAATTTCCTCAGAAGAAGAGCTATTGCAAATAACTAACAATGGGAAAGCCCTTTACAACTGAATATACCTATTAGGCTTGTCTGTGTCTTCCAAAACATGTGGAACTTAAGTTCTGTTCAGAATGGTTTGTTTCTTGGGAATGTCTGCATTTGGGGCAGAGAGAGGTGTGTTCTCCTGCTGTCCAGGCAAGAGGAAAACTTACTGGCTGGTGACAGTAGCCATTCTTTCTTCCTGGAAAGAAGTGATCTATAGTAACCATGTATCAAGTCACTATCCAATTTGACAAGAGAAGGGTTCACCTGGGTTACAAGACTGTTAATCTACTGTGGATTGGATCCCTAGCAGCAGGTGGCTTGGAAATGTTTTGTATGTGATTACAGAAGCGGGTTTGAGGCTAACTTCTGGAGTGTAACTTTTAGGATTAGCTATGAAGGGCAGGGCAAGGAAGTATCTACTTAAAATCAGCTCTTAGAAAATGGTAGGTTTACTACAGCCTCTGTTGTGGTGTAATGTCACTGACAGTGGTGGTTTCTGCTCCCTTCGTAATTCCAATTTTGTTTCCTGTTATTCTGTTTTCCAGTTCCATTCCATTGTTTTGTTAATTCATGACTTGAAATCACTCTAGGCATTTTTGCTCCCCCACTGCTGTTGGCTTGTAGTAAAGGTCTTAGTTCTGGTCTTTTTTTGCCATCTGCTTAAGCTTTTATGGGCTGTTTGTTTTCCTTGTGGTCCATTTGAAAGAGTAGTTTGTTCATATCTCTTTTTGGAATCATCATATTTACTTGTCTTTTGGGAGCGATTCTCCTAAGTAGCAACAAAAACTTGTTTTGTAATGTGAATTTGTTTCTGTAATATTGACAGGTGATATTGGAAACTATTACTATGGACAAGGGCATCCAATGAAACCTCATAGGATCCGAATGACACACAACTTGCTCCTAAATTATGGCTTGTACAGAAAAATGGAAATTTACGTGAGTATAAGCAATGGAATGTTGACTGAAGTGTGAGTATAAGCAATAGATTGTCCACTGAAGTATTGTAAGTTGGCTTCAAGTATTCTTACACAGATGAACGGGGAAGTGGGAGTAGAAATAGAAAATACTTAGTGTATTCAGTGCTCTCTTACTTAAAATTGAAGTACTGTTTTATAACTAGTAAGGATTGCAGATTGTTGTCCCTTTCTGGAAGGGGTAAGAAGCAACACCAGTAGAGGCTTTGGTGGTATTTTTAAGATTATGTGGGGGTGCGATTAGTGCAACTGCATGATGAATTTAGTGGGATTAAACTAGCAGAGTAATCCTTCATGCAAACTTCATGCAAAGCAGCACTAGTAGTAGTTTCACTATTCTCCCTTTGGAGTAGGTTAGATTTCTTTTAAGCTGTGTGCTTTAGTTAATTGTTAACTGGTTTTGCAGCATGTTCTAATTATTTCCATAACTTAATCTTGTTATCAGCGACCCCACAAAGCTACTGCTGAGGAAATGACCAAGTACCATAGTGATGAATACATCAAATTTCTCAGATCAATAAGGCCTGACAATATGTCTGAGTACAGCAAGCAGATGCAAAGATGTAAGTGTCCATATTAGCTAAATTCTGCGTTTGTATGTGTGCTTGATTGGCTGTGTTGTTTAAACCTAAATATTCAGCAGTGTGATGTTATGAATAGTGATGTCATGAATACTACCTACGTTAATTTTGAGTATTTCTAATTAAAAGCAGCTGTGTTTTCAAAGAAATGTTCTTGAAGCTTATGAAAGGACTTGCATGCAGAATGTGTGCTGGATGCAAAATAATGTTTTCTGTAGGCCAAATGCACCGGGTTAAACTTCAGTTGTGAGTGTTTGCAAAACTGTCTTAGAAATGCCTTCTAATGCAAAATCTTTCTGAAGAATAAAAGATTGCCTTAAAGAAGAATAGAAGTAAACTACTAAATATGTTGAGGGTAAGAAATGGAGCTGACTCTCCTGTTGGAGGGAGAAGGTAAAAATTGCACGTTATTCACTTTTCACATTTTCTATTAAGTAGTTTTTCAGATTTAGGAGTAACTTCAAGTTACTGTTAAAAATACAGTTTCACACAGCTCTACCAATATATAATATGTGTTTGTAGCTCTTTACAGTGCCTTATTCTCGATGTTTTTTTCCAAGAAGTTGCCCGTTTATTAAAACGATGTTAATCAACGCTTGTTCTAAAACAGACAAGTCTAACTTATTAATGAGACAAAGCTTTCTATAGAAACAAACAAACGAAAAAACAGGGAAAAAACAGTTTGGAGTCATTTTAAATGGTAAAAACAATACCAAAAGTTGATTCTGATTAGGAGTTGGGGCAAACTTTATATTTGTTTCAGAGTTCAAAATTAAGCCTGACAGAAAATGGGAGGAGGGAAAAAGTAGTTGAAATGCTAAATGAATTCTGCATTTTTATGTGCTACCCTTGCCTATACTAATGCTATTGGAATTGTGTTTTTGAAAAGTAATGTGTTTCTTGCACAGTTAATGTTGGAGAAGATTGTCCTGTATTTGATGGCCTGTTTGAGTTTTGTCAGCTATCAACTGGAGGTTCTGTTGGTAAGTATAGTTGTTTGCCAGGTATTTTGTAGCTTTATTATGTTTACGTTGGCAACATAAACCTTTGATAATATAGAACCTAAAGCAAATACAAGTTCGTTTTGCATAGGAATACTGAGATTAACAGTTACTTGATCTACCTCATATTTGACAATTTGTGTGTCAGTATTAGTAACAGATGAGATCTAGGATCAAGTGTGAGATTTAATGACTTAAAAATGAGATACTGTTTCCTATAACAAATGTAAAGACCTTCAGAAGTTTCTGACTGCGTTTCCTTTCAGTTTTGTGCCTGTCTTTTTACAGCTGGGGCGGTAAAACTGAACAGACAGCAGACAGACATGGCTGTTAATTGGGCTGGAGGACTTCACCATGCCAAGAAGTCAGAGGCATCTGGTTTTTGTTACGTCAATGATATTGTGCTTGCCATCCTTGAATTACTGAAGTAAGTTTTATGATGGAAAAAGATTAAAATTGTTTAAGGTGTCAAACTTTTTAATTTTTTAATGTTTGAAGATATGGATAGTAATTGTAATTTTTTGTCAGTTTTCGTTGTTGAACTTATACAATTTCTTGATGACGAGAGCTCCCAACTCTGTCCAATTTGGCTTCAGCAAGAAGCCCAAGCTAAAATACAGACGACGTGGAAAAAATAGTTATTAGGAGATAGGTTTGAAACACATTCTTGAAGTACTTTTTCCGCACAAGGATAGTGAACTTCTAGATCTCACTAATACATGAGCTTGAATGAAGCAGAGGATGACAATAGATTAAAAAAAAAAAAGAAAACAAATTAGACATTAACTTGGGCAAGAGATGCACCCCTTAAGATATCATCTGCTGTAATTGTAGATGGCGGGTAACAGATCTCGAAAAATTTCTCCTGTTGCTACTCATGGAGACAGAATGGCGGTCAAGATGATCCCTGGCCTGACCCTATTGGGCACTTAAGCCTTAGGTGTTTTGTTCTCAGTCATAGGCCTTTTTGATCTCTGTTTGCCCTTCTATATTCCGTCTTTCAAGCTGTTGCTAGCAAACAGGAATTTTAAGGAAAATCGTACACTGAGATTTCTTGGGTTGTTACATGAGTTAAGCTGGCTGTTAAGAAAACAATGAAGTAGCAGCTGTGCTGCTTTGGTTGTAGAATAAAAAATGAAGAGGGGAGTAACGCAGAAGTAATTGCAAAATTACCTTCAAGCAACAGTGCACCAATAAAACTTCAAATCATTAATATCAGTTATAATATTTAATGGGATTCTATCCCTTCTAATAGCATAAGGCTCGTTTTCTACGAAAAATATTTTTGGCATTTGACTGCTTGGAGGTGGAGCAACTGAATCTGCTGGTGGCAGGTGGTAGAGGGAAGCAGCAGTAATCAGGAAGTGATTTTAAAAATGGAAGAAGTTGCTAATGGCACAGATATTTCATATTAAAACATTCATTTTAATATGCGCATATTGAGGATATGAGGAGAAGCTGAGCGAGTTCTGGTTCTTCGTTTTGCAGAAGAGTATCCTCAGGGGAGACCTTTTAGGGGCTGTCCAGTACCTAAAAGGGGCCTGGAAGAGAATTCTTTATCAGTGAGTATAGTGATAGGACAAGGAGTTACAGGCTTGTGCTAAAATGGTAGATTTAGATTAGATGTTAGAAAGGAATTATTTACTATGCAGGTGGCAAGGCACTAGAAGATGTTGCTCAGAGAGGCTGTGAATAGATGGAAGTGTTCAAGGCAGGGTTGGATGGGGCTTTAGACAGCCTGATCTGTTGGAAGGTGTTCCCTGCCCATGGAGGTTGAAACTAGGTGGTCTCTTCCAGCCAAAACTGTTCCATGATTTTATGATTGTGTCTCTGCAGTCTAACAAAAGCAGTATGATTTTTCTGTGGTCCAGCTTTGACTATTGTTTTTTAAATCTTGTGTGTGAAGGAAGTAACCTTCCAAATAGATATGGGCTATGTCACCATAGGAAACTATTCTGTTTGGTATCTTGTTAAGAGAAAAATCTTAGAACACATGAAACCATGGCTGCTCTGTAATCTATAGCACTGTGAAAAGGTTAGTGTAAATGTCTTCTGATGTTGATAGACTTTATTCTTTGCTGAACGGCACAGGATTTAAGGGATGTTTACTGTTGTTTTCAGTGCTCTTGCCATGAAGCAACTTTCTTTATCCCTCTCAAATAAAATGATCTGAAACTTGCACTATTAAATAACTATTAAGCCATATCATGGTTGTATGTTAATGGTAAGTGCAGTACAGTTGGAAACAAGAACATGCTTATATTTTTAGTCTTTGCAGAGGTGAAAAAGGAAAGTTGATGGAAAATATTAAAATATTTTTTTTTGTGGGCTTATGGAATATGGATTATGGCTGCTCCTGACACTGATTCTTCAAAAATTCTTGAAAAGCAAACACGAGGTGTTTTATTGCAGAATGTTTTGGCAATTACTGAGAAAGACAAAAGTGTACCACAAAAGGGGTGAATTCTAAGGATCTGGACAGCAGAAGATGGTGTGAATAGGATTAAAAGGTGAAATTACTACTGACTTAGGACAGCTCAGTTAAATATTGAATGCGTTGCATAATAAAAATCACTTAAAGATGAGCTTATTGTCACCATTATCCGAACTGTACTGATAATTCTGAGAGTTACGGTAACTTCAGAATTATAAACTTTATCATAATCTGGGATTTATTTATATTTTTCTGTGGTAGGTATTGATATCTTATAAACATAACAGAAAATTGTGATTTCTCAATTTTTCTTTCTAGGTATCACCAAAGAGTGTTGTATATTGATATTGATATCCATCATGGTGATGGTGTTGAAGAAGCATTTTATACCACAGATCGTGTCATGACAGTATCATTCCATAAGTATGGTGAATATTTTCCAGGCACAGGGGACCTTAGGGTAAGACTGAGCATGAAATTTCATTGCAATAAATTCCCTCTTATGCACTTCCTTGTGGACACTACTTTAGTACTGTTATTGCAATCATACTCCACAAAAATGTGTATTTTCTGAAAATTTATCATGTTAGTCTGGAGTAATAGTTGCGTTGAGGAACCTTAGGAAGAAATACAGGATATTGGGAAGCAAATTGCTTACTTCTAGATATGTTAAACCATCTCTTTGGCTTTGGGATAAATTGTCTGAGCAGTGTGCTACACCTGTAATTACAGTCTCTGCATTTCAGTTCTGCACGTACAGAGGAAAGTAGCTCTTCGGACATCACAGGGCTTCACATCTTAGTTCAAGCAAAATAAATTTATGCAGTAGTTTAAGTAGTCGCAGTGTTTCACATGCAACTGTACTGTGCTAGGTTTGCTTAGTAATACAGTTGGTTCATTTGTTATTATTTCATACGTTAATAAGGTATGTTTTGAATTTTAATGCTGCTCACTGCTGAAAAACTTCAGCACGCTCCGCAGATGATTTACTAGCATTATATCTAACTTGAAGAAGGGAACAACAGAGTGTGAAGCGTTATTATTTAAGTTGGTGAATCTCTGGCAAAGCTGAGAGTGACAAGTAATTTGCCTGGATCCTAAGATTATTATTATTATTTATTTTTTTTTAAGTAAGTTAAGTCATTCCTTTTGTTAGACTCTATCTCATCAGAGCAGGAAGTTGTTCCACTTTGCAACTTGAAATATGATTTCAGATATTAAGATTAGTATATTCTTCACTTGATACTTGCATTCAGCCTCTCTTTATGACAGCACTCCAATGATAAATTAATTCCTTGTTAACAGCTTTGTTACGTTGGTTTCTAAGTGCAGTTGTTATATTAGAAAACTAATAAAAACTACTAAAAAGCAGATCTATGAAAATATTGTGTTCAGAAGGTATTAACTTCGTTGTTTTTACACTGATTCAAGTGATACAGGTACCTGTGTTTACAGTAATGCTTCTAGAATGTGTATTGCAGTGTGATGTGATGATACCCAGTGGACAACGCTGTAAATCAAAGCTGAGCATTAAGTCAGTGGGGTGCTAAGTGTGTTCATTTCAATTGTTTTTTTGGAGGTGACTGTTGTTATAGTTCTTAAATTTTGTTAAACCGCTTTCTGAGTTGATTTAGGAAATCAGATTTGGTGTCGTTTTTTATGCATGTGATTTAACTCGACTGGCCACAAGGTGGCGGTGGTGCATTAAACAAGAAAATAGTGCGGGATGTTTATAAGATAGCTTTTGTTGCTGAAATTGGCTAGGTTTTCTTTTCTTTTTTGGAGGATTAGATATCTTTGTCTTAGAAGCAGCACTTCCTGTTGACAGAGGAGTTTGTGGATTCTTCACCTCACCACACCCAGGACAAGGAATTAAAAGATACATGTTTGAAGTAAATAATTTGTATGTTATTGGGATTTTTTCAGCACAATGTCAGTGATGAATAGTACCTTAGGCATTATAACTTGTCCTATGTTGCTAGATAGTATTTTTCAAATGATCGTGGTCTGCATACCAGCAGACTTAAGCAGGCTTCATTACAGCTAACTGCGTATGTCACCTTCCTGCCAAGGAGAAAAATGCAGCAACTTTTTCTTATCTCTAGAGTTTGCAAAGTTAATTGCGCTTAATAATTAATGTGTTCCGGAAACCATTATTCTATTGCTTGTTTCTGCTCAACTTGATTTTCTTTTGGCTATTTACGTCAACCAAATCTTAATCTTGTGGTCAGTGGACTCTGCTCAGGCTTGTTTTAGTAATTTCTGCTTGGTCTAGTTTGCTGATCAATTTATAGTTATTTGGTGTAGAGACAAATCATGCAAGAATTCAGAATTCTCCGATTGTAGAATCACCAATGTATCTCATTTACAGACAGGTTGCATTCCTCTATTCTAGTTCAGCTATATTCACCTTTTTTTTTTTTTTTTTTTTTAATTAAAGGGAAATGCATAGACATTTAGCTGTCTGTGTTTTAGAATAAGATGGACTTGATTTCTTTTATATCTGAAAAGCGAGGATCACTTCAGAAAAATTGGCTTCTGAGAAACTAGATGTAATTTTGGATTACTGACATGCTACAAATCAGAGATGTGTTTAGCAGGGGTTTTCAGTGTTGCTTGCAATGCTGTGAACTCTTATAATCTGCTGGAAGAGGATGTGCTACGCTGGGCCACTGAACAACAATAAAAGGTGGCTACTGAAAAGGGTACGTTGCAATTCCGTATGCTGTGAAAAATGCATTTTTCAGGAAAGGAAAAATATCCATGACTATTTCAACACCTTCAGTTGATAAGTTTAGTGTTGCTGGGTCATCCTGCTAGGGACTTGGATTTTTTCAAGGGTGTAGGGCCTCTTAGTGCATATTGTTATTTCATGAGTTTACAGCCAAACTGATTATGTTGTATCTTATTGTCTTCCCCACTGCACCTTGATTAGTGGCAGAGAGCTGCAGTTTGCAAACTGGATCAGTTTCTGTCTTGTTTGGTGCTGAGCTAAAGGGACAAAATAGGAATGTGTGGCATGTGAGTATCTTTAGGTATTAAGCTGATAATCAATGGATCCAGAGTTGATTCAGTCAACATTTATTTATTATTATTTGTATACCAAGACTTCTGATACATGTGTTGTCCAGGAATGCCATTTAGATAGGTTTGTGTAGTTCCTGAATTGTCAACTGATGAAAATGAGAATAATCTGCCTGAGTTTTGGTTGGTTTTTATTTTGTTTTTCTTAGATTGGAAAGTATTTCTTGAAGGCATCCTGTAACTGGCTTCAATTTCTTTCTCCTTTCTATTCAACAAGTGCACTATCCTATGTTTGGACCAGAGAATACAGTTTTAAACACTCTCTCAAATAAAAATCTTATGTATTGTGCATCTTACCTTGCTCTCAGTTCTCTTTGCTTTTTGCTCAGCAGTTTTTGCTGGGCTAAATTGATTGGTTTTATGTCATCTTTTAATCTTACGTTTTTCAATTAAAAAAATCAAATGTACTTCCTGCAAGTGTTGTGTTGGCATACAATTATTACAGTTCAAAGTGAAAAATCAGAATCAAATACAGTATTTTGCCTGTTTTTCCCCTCATGGCATCAACGGTGATTCAAAATAGCTCATTGTAGTTGTATAAATTTTTTTTTCCATGATACTATTGTGTGTTATTAGAAGTATAAGAATGTTTTCCATCTTTACTTATAGGACATTGGTGCTGGGAAAGGCAAATACTATGCTGTCAACTTTCCAATGAGGGATGGTATAGATGATGAATCATATGGACAGATATTCAAACCAGTGAGTGTTTTTCTGAACTCTTTGGTATTATGGTTTTTTTTTTCATTTTGTGACTTTGTTTTTGTAACGTGAATTAACAACTGGATGTTTTATATTGATTATAGATTATATCAAAAGTAATGGAGATGTACCAGCCCAGTGCTGTAGTATTACAGTGTGGAGCAGATTCATTGTCTGGTGATAGGTTGGGATGCTTTAATCTTACTGTTAAAGGTAAGTGGAAAAGTGTTTCTGTTTGTTCTCTGTAACTTTTTACTCAAGAGAAACTTCTACCTGTTGTGTGATTTTCCAACAAAATTGCGAGATGAGGATTGGAGTTGGAGAGATTTTGTTCATTACCATGATTAATCACCTCTTTCTTTATTATACAGAAATGACCAAAGGAAACCCAGAAGTTGTCTCTTTCTATCCGCCTAAAAAAGTTAAGAACTCCGGTTTTCCATGTTCCTCCTAGCCACTCAACTGATTCCCTTTCTTCTATGTACAGGCTTTTCTGTAGCTTTAAAGCAATGTCCTGGATTGATAGGATGACCACAGTAGTCCTACAGCAACACTTACTGTGATGGGCAACTAACAAAACTAGCGGGTCTCTTAGTAGGACTCCTAAACATCAAACATCTTGTTGGGCATAAAATAGGTATTACTGAAATTAGAATACTGATTGCATTGTTATGTTTATGCTGTTGTTTTTTATGATGAGCTTTGTGGTAGCATTTGCTTTTAATAAGCTTCGTAGAATTCAGCTGTTTTTACTATTAGATTTCTACCTAAAAGGATGATTCTTAGAATTGAGGTGAGAGGTTAATTTAGCAAACAACATAGCTTAAATGGTTAATACTAATATTTATAAAATGTTTAATTTATGTTGAACTGTTTATAAACCTTGAATCCAGTCTAGTTGAATCACTGATTTTTTTCTGGGGTTTATTTTTGTGTTTTCTTAATGAGGCAATGAGTGTTTTGTAGGCAACAGTATAGTATCTGTTGGGTCTGCAGTGTTTCAGGGTTCTTTTTTTGATTTGCACCAGGTGGCAAAGCTCCTTCAGTTGCCCATACAGATCAGATTTTTTTTCATCTTACATATCTTGGAAACCAAGAGAGCTGCTGCCTCCTACAGATGCCTTTCAGTATCTACTTGCTGTATCTACCTGGACTGTGTACTGTCTTGGCACCAGTTCACTCTGTAAGCAAGACTTAGCAACCTTTCATACAGGTTCAAATTTAGAAGTAGAGAGGACCAAGTACTGATTTACTTTTTTTTCTTTCTTCCCATTTTGTGTTTAACTGAGAAATTATCCCTAGATTTGTCTCTGTCTTTTCATAGCAAGTATCAATGCAAAACACAAAATACTCGTTCTAAGAGCATTTCAATACTGCAGTGATAAGAGACCGTCATGCAAAGTCTCTGAAAACTGGGATGGATAATATTTGGTGTGTTTTACACGCTTCTTACCTGTAAATCTTGACTTGTTGTGAAATTGTGCTTAGTTGTAGAGGGTGACAGTTCTGTTTTACTTGAACCAATTCAATTCTTATCAAATAAGTATTGCTTATAATGAGCTCTAAGCGTATAAAAATATATGCAAATCACATTTTTTTCTTTAATAGGCGTTTTGTATATATTGTCAAATATTTTTGTTTGTGACAGGTCATGCAAAATGTGTGGAAGTTGTAAAGACTTTCAACTTGCCATTGCTGATGTTAGGAGGAGGTGGATATACTATTCGCAACGTTGCTCGATGCTGGACATATGAAACTGCTGTTGCCTTAGATTGTGAAATTCCTAATGGTAAATATTAATCCACAAATTAATACCTTGTCAAGAAATAATCATGGGAATGTCAAAGTGAAAGGATAGTAATGGTAATATTTACCAAGTGCAGTGTGTCAGTTTAGAATGAGATAGAGAAAGCTATCGTTAAGGCTTAGATGGTAACTTTTCAGTAGCTTACACACAAAACAAACTTTAGAGGCTTAGGGCTTGCTTATGCTTTGATCAAAGCTTTAAATTACCAGATTGCTTTTTTAGTATATATTTTATTGTATGTTTGACAGTGTTTTGATTATGACAGCACAGACCTCTGTAAGGTGGGTATTGCAGATATAGTGTTCATGAGAAAAGGTTGAGTATACAAGTGCCCATTTTGCACAGTAAAACTTAACTATTTCTTCATTATATCTTTGAGCTAAAAGTGTCTGTATTGACATCATCTCTTCCGTTTGTCTCAATTTCGGCTATGCAAACTCTTTAAACTTCTAAAGCAAAAAGAGCAATAGTTAGCTTCTTTTAAATCCTTGAATAGTGGAGTCATTTACCTGAGGAATATCTCCATATATCTCGCACTCCCTGTGATTCTGGCCAAGTATATTTCTGGATGTATTTTTTGAAAGCTTTTCTATGAAGTTGGTGCTTGAACTGTCTTGTTGCATCAGCCATTGTCTTTCATGTTGGACTGCGGTTTTACTGATAACATTTTGATATACATAGGTCACTCCAAAAGTAATCTCTCTTACTGCTGTGGAAACTACAGTGGATACAAAAAGAACAATACTATTTGATACAGCAAACTCTTAGCTACAAAACACTATTTTTCAACACAGTCACTATGAGCTTTGCATTTTTACCAGTGATGAGTAAGAGCCTGAATACCACACTTACATGTGAGCATCAGCAGAGGTGACCCACTGTCTGTGTCACTGCTGCTGAAACACGCTACCCACCACCTACCTCACTTTGCTCGCATCTGTTGTTTGGTCTCCATAAATGCTCAGCAAGCATCAGTAAGTGTCAGCTATTTTTTCTGCATGGAGAAATTCACTTCCACACCTTTGTTTCATCTGCACTTCCATGTCAGATGCCATTCTGTCAGACTGCCTCTCTGCTGCTATCTGTCACGTGGCAACAAAATATAACAGAATGTTGGTGGGAAGGTTCAACCTCTACTATGCTACCATTAGCATCTGCCTCTGATGTCATGGATCAACATCATAAAACAGGAAATATTACTTTTGGGGCAGCCTTTGTACCCATCATGTGTTTTACTAGAGGAATATTCTGACTGGCACACATAAGGTAACTTGGAAGTAGCTATAAATAATCATCAGTGAATCATGCCTCATCTCCAGAATTAGCATTTTTAATGATTAGGTTTGTTACTTACGCATTGTCAGCATGTGTTCTAGCGTGATTAAAGTAGAACTTTATTCTTTTTGTATTGTGTTGTGCAAAGAAAAAATGTTTAACGTGTTGAGTAATTTAGAGAAAAACACTGAAAGATTTGTACGTTTTGTATTTTGTGTACATTTTGTATTTAAAATGATTGAAATCACCATTGGGTCACAATTGTCTTTTCTGTTCTGTTTTATAGAATTACCTTACAATGATTACTTTGAGTATTTTGGACCAGACTTCAAGCTCCATATTAGTCCATCAAATATGACTAATCAGAATACTCCAGAATATATGGAAAAGATCAAGTAAGTAGTGCTTACCTTATTTGCCAAGTACTTGTGTGAGTTGTTTCTCCAGAGGCTTAATTTTTACACAAGTTTCCCTATTACACACTGAAAAAGTACTAAATAGAAATGACGTATTTTCTCTTTATCAGAAGATGAACTTTTAATTAAGAAGTCTGTGCCTACAATGGTTTCTACGCTTATGAAGTCCTGTCTACTTAAATATGAAAGCTTAAGACTCAATTTAGATTTTTTTCACTTCTTCCAGCAATTAAAGAGAGAACTGTTTTATTTGGCTTGCTATTTTGATTTTGAAAGAAGTTTATCCTGTCAGGAAAGAAGCTGTGGTGTGCACTGATTATTAGGCTTCCAAATTCTTGTCTAAACATGAATTGATTGTCATTCTTTGTAGCTGTCAGCCTTAAAAAATAAAAATAAATCACGTGGGTAGACATCAAAAACTGTGGAAAGATAGCAACATGCCTGCAAGCAATTGAGACTGTAGTTTGACAAGTCCACAAGAGTTGACAAGCTATAGAGATAGTGTTCTTAGGCTTTGCTGCTTCTTAGTTCAGTTTTTGCCTACCCACATCATGAAGGTTTGTTTGCAAACTAATGTTGTGCTTCAGAAATGGAATAATACTTAAGAATAATCAAATCTGTACTCATCTAATAAGAGATAATTGATTAACCTGAAGTACTCATTGTTTACAATGGTTTGTTCCTAATTTGGATTTAGAAGGTCATGTGATAGAAACAGAAAAAGAGACTTGTAAGGATCTCATACAACCTCAGTTGCCATTCACACTTTGAATTGTTCAGAGGGATACTGAGACAGTTGTCACAAATGCTGATGCTTGTAACCTGCCAACACTTCTCTCCACTCAAACTTCTTTGGATCAGTAATTTTGAGTCTCAGGTATTTGTTCTTGTTCCTGCATGTGGCCCTATGGAGTGCGGGATCTGTCGCATCAGTTGGCTTGGACAAGAATGTCTGTCTATTCTCTCTTAAATAGTTAGTAAGCAATTTCATCCAAACGGATCGCTTCTGATCACAATCTCGTTGCTGCACACAGCATGGAAGTAGTCATGCTTTAAGTGTCTTTTTTGTCACGCTTTTTTCAGATACTAGTTTATTATCCAGCCTGATACTCTTGTCTATTAAATAGAGTAATGCTGTCACCAGGGTCACCAAGTGGGAAGGACACCTACTGATCTAGTGGAGAACTGAAGATTGAAGTTAGCTAACGATATATGCTTAAAATTTAAAAGAATGTGATAGCAAAATAGGCTGTGAATACTAGTGATCTGCTAGGGATGGAAAGCTTTCTGAAAACTTTCTTAAAGATAAGCAGGTTAACTTTGGGTGCAGAATTTGCAGAATTAAATACAAAATCCAAGGAAATGCTACTTCTGCAGAGTAGTAACTTTATATTACTTACAGGCAACGCTTATTTGAAAACTTGCGCATGTTACCTCATGCACCTGGTGTACAGATGCAGGCCATTCCTGAAGATGCTGTTCATGAAGATAGTGGAGATGAGGATGGAGAAGATCCAGACAAACGCATTTCAAGTAAGAAACACTATAAAGTCCAAGTAGAGTCATCCTAGTTTCAACTATTCAGAACCTCAGTCTTAGAAGTGTGATGCTGGATGATTGGCAATTGGAGAAGTCATTTTCCAAGTTAAAAACTTTTGCCATAGTTCTACCAGTCTTGTGGTTATTAAAATGGCATCTGTGCCCAAATATTAATCTGTAAAGGAGTTTTCAAGAAGTGCTCGAGAGTACTTGAGTCTTGGAGCGAGTTGTTGCAGTTTATTTTAATATACTCCAGAAGCGTTAAATGAAGGACTTAGCTTGTGACTTGCTATTCATAAAAACAGTAATGAAATAAGTGTTTCTGAAAGTAAATTGTCTCTCTGATTCATAGTATATTTTTACTAGTTCTTAATTTAGTAGTTCTTCTTATGTCTATGTAGTCAGTCTGTATTCTGACCTTTTTGTTTAATTTCATAACTGTCCATCTCAGTTCGAGCATCTGATAAGCGCATTGCCTGTGATGAAGAGTTTTCAGACTCTGAAGATGAAGGGGAAGGCGGACGGCGAAATGTTGCAGATCACAAGAAAGGAGCAAAGAAAGCTAGGATAGAGGAAGACAAAAAAGAGACAGAGGACAAAAAAGCAGGTAGGAGTCTATGGTTATTTTATCCTACCTTTTAGAACAACAGGCATCTGTCCTGCTGGAAGAAGGATACATTCTGTGTTAAGAGCTATTTTACTATTGAAACAGTGGTTGTTTTTTTTATCATATCTTAATCTATTTTAAAGTTTAATCAGTTTCACCATTGATTTTTAAGATGCAGCTATTCATCCTGAAATAGTATTTCCATGCAAACTGGAAGGATAGGATCAGTGTTGTTTCTTCCCATACTTGAAGCTTTTAAAGCCAGGGGTTTATTAGGGTTAAAAAAAAAAAATTATCTTTAACTATGTTACGCAAATAGTTTGTTCCTTTTTGCTTTGATAGAGTGAGGCTGCTAGTTTTCTTCTGAAACTGAAGCTTGATAGGTTTCTAGGAATAGTATACTTGAAAGAACTTTTGGACTTTTCCAGTGAAAGTCTGTATCATAAGAGTATGAGACTGAACCCCATAAAGCTTTGGGGAAAATGCAGGCGTTGACTGTTTCAGCCAGTCAAGAGGAACTATGCCTGACTTAATTTGAATCACTTGGCACCATGCCCAGGTAATTCCCAAGGATGGATGCATTTAATACTATATGTCAATAAGCAAATTTACTTTTTTCTTTCCCTAAAGTTGTTTCTCTTAGCTTCAATTGTATCTATGAAGTATAGCTGTCCCCGATTTTTTTTTTTTTTTTTTTCTTTCCTTCTAAAGTACACTTGGATCTCTTCATATATTTAAACCAAGTAATTTTTATTTTTAGATGTTAAGGAGGAGGATAAATCCAAGGACAACAGTGGTGAAAAGGCAGACACCAAAGGGTAAGCAATTAATTAATGTCGCCTTACTGAAGAGCATTTGGTAACTTAAAAGTATTCTTAAGTATTGATTTCTGTACATATCCCTCATAATACTAAACATTTACGAGTTAGAACAATACTAAGTCAACGCTGCATTTCTGAAATGGTTAATCTAAAAAAAAAATCATGCATCTTAACAGCTTATTTTTGTTTTTGTACAGAGCAAAATCAGAACAGCTCAGCAATCCTTGAACAAAAGATAGCCTCACATCAATTGCAGAACATAATGCTAGAGTTGGAGAATACCTAAAGGAAGAAGTTTTCATATTGAGAAAGACTGCTGATTTCATTTTTGTACTATTTGGCATGGACAGTATTTATTTTCAAACGGCTTTGTTCTGGTTTTTGGCAAGTTGTATTGTGAGTTTTCTAATTATGAGGCAGAAATTCCTTTCTTCACCATGCTTTATGTAATAGTATTTAAAATGGATGTGAGTTATGTTAAATGTCTAAACTGATCTATTAAAGTAATTTGCCTTTCCTGAGCTGATTTTACCTTTTTTGTAATTTTATCTTTATTAAAAAAAAAAAAAAAGTACTTGGTTGTCTTCTGTCCATCATTGAACTAAAAAGGCAAAGCTCCGTGTAAATTGAACAGACTTACATTTATCTGTGAGTAGCTGATAGATTTAGATAGACAGCTGGTGAATATTCAAGTTGAACTGTGCTGCTTCATGTACTTCAATGGCTGCTGCCAAGAGTGATGACAAATATAATGAATACGTGAGATTTGAACAAGTTGAATAAATGGGGGAAGAGGTATTTGAGTGGTATGGTTATACAAACTTGCATTTTGGTACAGAATTTTAAAACTCAACAGCAAAATGCCTTGTGTCCAAGAATCTTTCCCACCATCAGTATCTACTCCCCAAATTGGTTCATTTGCTGTAAATTAAATTTCTATAAGGTCATCTTTCAAAATATACAAAATAAGAAGTAAAGGTTTGGCTGTAAATAATAATCTGTCCTGATTTTTTTTTTAGTAGCTGTAAGCATTGTAAAATGTTGTCCCTGTTTTAAAAACAAAAATGTTTACTTTTTTCTTTGTTGATTGCTTAGTTCATTCTGTTGTCTGAACTGAAACACAGAAATCTGAGCATACTTGTTCCTTTTTTTTTTTTTCCTCCTCTCAATCTTTGTTTTCAGGCTTACGGAGCATTGAATGCTGAAGTTTTCAGGATTGCTGTTAATTTCAAGTAGTTTGTGAATTAACTGCTGATCCTGTTGGTAATTGAAGTTAACTATGTGTTAATTAGTGGACTGAAATACAATGTTTAAGGAGAGAAGATACTTTTTATTTGTACCAAAGAGGTAAAATGCTGTTTCTTTGTTTTCTTTGAGGATAGTGGAGGTACAAACACAAGGACCAAGACTGTGGCTTTGGGTACGTTTGTGAGCATCTGTGGTCTCCTTTGTGCATCTAATGCCTGCTAGCTCTCTAGGCCAAAGGATAAAAGTTAGATTTCAGGACTATAGGAAGGTCATGAGTTTGTACCAAAGAGGTGAGAAGTGATAAATGATGCCATAAGCATGCCTCTAAGTGCCCACTGATATTTGCAAGGAGTTCAGCACTCTAGATTCTGTTAGAGAAGTTTTCACAGGGCTGAAAGTGACAAATATATTTGTATTATATATATGTCTTAAGGTGGTGGGTTTGTTTATTTTTTTTTAAGTTGATATATACTTTTTTTGTATCTGTTAGAGGGTGTTAGTTCAAGTGACCTGTAGTCTCTGCCATTGTTACAAGTATAACAAAAAACTATTTATCAGATAATGGTGTTGAAAAGGCCAAATTTCTAACTTTGGATCACTTCAATACAAAGCAATGAAATCTAATGATGTTATGAATGAAACCCAAGAATACTTGTGATTGCAACCCCCAAGTAACTCAAATTTAAAAAAAAATAAATAAAAAATTGTGTCATCCTGCATTGTTTATGAGAAATTACAGTGCTAATAGAAATGCTGGATGCTACTGTATCCTTCTGAGTCCTGATAAATATCTCTTCCGGTTAAAGGCAGGTGTAATACTAAAGTATATACCTTTGTCCTTATGAAGCCCCTCTACTTAAAAAACATACCTTGAATTAACTGTGTGAATTCTCCAAACATAAGCATTTTAATTAATTTGTTTTTCCCTTCTGGAAAGAAGCTGTTGGTAACCCTTCTATAAATTGTGCAGATTTGCTCTGCAAAATGAATGTCTCTTGTGCCATAATGTAACATAACCAGTTATGTTATGCTCAGTATTTAAGTCTAGAGGAGAAAACTTTTGCTTTTTTCCTTTGTCCTTAAAGGACTGACATATAATTCAAGTATAACTTGCTTTTAGCTTTACATATTCAATAAATAATTTTTGCTTATTCCAGATGGTGACATTCACCATGCAATTTCTAAAACTCTGGAAGAATAAGAATAGATCTATTTTGATATTCATGCTGGTTATCAGTTCTGAAGGTTTTTTATTACTTTTTTTCCCTAGTATTTATTGTATTACTGCTCTCTTCATTTTACAAAGGATCTTGTGAAGCATTTGATATTGTTTTTACTTCATAAGGAGTCATCTTAGCAAGAGTTCAGAATACTTGTGAGAATTTTCAGAACTCAGGCATCTTGGTCTTTTTTTATTTTAACATAAGCAACTACTTTCTAGTTGAGTGAAAATAGGAGCTATTCAAATTGTTCTTTGAAATGCTTGTAGGTCTGTGTACAGACTAAAAAGAGATTGCTGTTGGATGAGGAAATAAGCAATACAGCAATATAAATGTGAATGAATATCAATACGACTGAACTGCATTATTTCCACTTATTGTTGTTTTGTAGGACTTTTAAATGAAAACATTGCCCTTCTCACAATTTTACATTTATATATTTGGAAGCCCCACTGAAAATACATTTTATGTATTTGTATCTTTCCATCCTTTAAGTAATATTCTGAGAATTAATTTGTGCATGGGCTTAAAACAAATCTGAATGAGAATTCAGAATTTTTGTTGCTCTGAGCATAGAACTGACAACTGTTTGCATGCATGCTAGTATTCTGAGGCAACTCCTTTTTAGCCAAATTTCCAGTGGGATTTAAATCTGTAAAAGGAACTGCATTATATGTAGACACGTGTATGAACAAATATAATCAGATACTATTCAGAACACAACAACAAAAACAGTACTTTTTAATAGTTACTGCTTTTTTTAATTCTCGTAATTTGTAGTAGTTACCTGTTGTAGTATTCTCTCATCTCTGTGACAGTATGTGACTGGCACAGATAATTATATCATCTTATTTAATAGTGGTTATAGCCAGCAGCTCAATTTAGTGTTTAATACATTTCAGTCTACCTCAGAGAAGAAATGGCATTTATTTGTAGATGGATGTCTTGGCAAAACTAGATGTCAAAGCTGGATAACAGCAGGCAGAATTAAAGAACAACTTCCTAGGTTAGGAACTTGGCTTAGTGTTTTCCATGACTGCTGCCAGAAGAAAAAGGGGGGAAAACAAACAAAAAAAAAAGGCTGCGGGTAAACTTTAAGTAATTCCATGCAGCAGTTGCCAAACAGGCTCCACATGGATAATGCATACATTGAATGATTCTCTGTTCTTACAATCTATTTTTAAAACTTCCTTTGTGATGCTGCTTTTAACACTATTTGTTTCAATAAAGTGCTCTTGAGATTTAGCTGGTAGAAGCAAAAATTCTGTATCACTGCAGATTATATCAAGTTAAGCCTAGCACAAAATTGAGTCAATATTGTGAAAGTCTCTTCTGTCTTTCTTGGGAGAGGTGGGTGGGGGTTCTTTTGAGTTGGTTTTGTTTGTTTCTTTTTTCAGGCTAGCAAGCAATTGAAAACCGAGGAAGTGAAGATCAGAGTGAGGAGTTATGAGTCAGAATGCCACACTGTTGTGTGGCTGACTACCACCCTCTTTGATCCAGAAGGTTTTTAAATACAATTGCAACATTCTTTTAAAGTTTCTATTTAGTACTTTTCTGTGGAGACCAAAATTATAAGGAAAATTTCTGACAACTCAAACTGGAAGAAAGAGACTTTGCTATGACTTTGTAAATGGAATTTTTTTTGTGTTAAATCTTCAGCTTTTTCATGATGTGGGTGAATGGGGCATACTTCCCTAATTGCATCACTGCTGGGTTTTTTGATTATTTCCCTTTCATTGTATTTTTTGGCAATGTTTTTTCATTCCATAGTGAGCGGTAACAATCTTTGGAACTAGACAGTGAATCCTTGAATGGACAGTGCTGCTGTAACTATACAGCAGATGTCTGATAAAATGCCTCAACATCAAGAATCTAGATGCTCTCCTTTAAAAAAACAAAAGTAAAAAAAAAAAAAAAAAAGTAACAGGAATAAATAATGAAGTGTGGTGTGGCTAGAATTGCTCTGAAGAATTTTATATACTTCTTCCACCTATGGGTGAGGCCTGGCTTGCATGTAGGGAACAGTTCTAAAACTTCTGTAAGTGCTTAGACTGATTACTGTTTGGAAGCTCCCTTCATTCCTTACATACAGGAACATCCCATGTTTAAACCTCTGTCTACTAGAGTGAAAGGCAGAGCAAATGTAACTGGAGTAAGCTTGGATGGGAAAAACGTTCAGTTGATGATTACTGTAAAGTTTGAAAGGCATTTTCTGTTGTTTCCCTTACCAGATGTTTCCTATTCCCAGATGAATGATGTCACAAGTCTTAAAATGATGGGTTAAATTTCAGTGAACTAATTTGAGTGGCTAATCAGAAAGACCCCTTTAGGATTTGATGTTCAGAGGCAGATGAACTGCAGTTCTGAAGATCAGCACCTCCAGAGGAAAAGTTCTTGGACTCCGGAGAGCATGAGCATCTTCTGGTTTTAAAAACAAGGAACTGAAATTTTGGAACATGGGTTCAACCCTCATGTGACAGCAGATGTGATTTATTGTATACAGTGCCTCTTTTGAGGTCTTTGTGCTGCAGGAAGACATAGAGAAAATTATTTACATGCTTGTACTTTTAATATTTAAAATATTTCTAATACTTTTACACACCCAGTTTAGCATGAGTGTTACGGCTTTTGTTATCTCCTGTCTGAGAGCACAGTAACATGGGCATGTCCCTTGTGTTACCAGGGCAGGCTACCAAAGAGCAGCAGAGCATGTTACGGTGGCTAATTTGGCTTTATTATCCCAAGTGCTACCAACCTGAACAAAGAGTTAGGGGAGCTCCTGCAGGGAGAAGTGCTGAGACAGACCACACCTAAGGTGTGTCTCTTGCAATGAATTACATTGAAATGACCTTGCTTACCTTCCAGTGATAGTCTGGCCAAGATAGAGATAAAAAATAAATAAATAAATAATCATTAAAAAAAAAACCTAGATCTTAGGTAGGCTGAGGTTATTCATAATTAAAACAATGTTGTTTTCAGATGCTGGCTGAAAGCATCCAACAGCTAGGAGCTGAACTCAAGCTTTGGGATTGAAACTAAGGTACGTGGGGGAT